CACCCCCCTCAACTATGATTTTTTCTTACATCTCCACCCCTATTGTGCCAAATTCAACATAATCGTCTAGATTCTATGAAATGTGTTCTAGTTTGTACTCATTTTGTGTAAAAATACAGTTTCCGATGCACCACAAACTGATATATACAAGTTAAAAATCACATATTCTGGTCATCTTGTTTTATAATGTAGAGTTTGAATGAGATAAAACGGGTACAAAAGTGATAATATTCCATATAATCTCGAAGATTCCACTAAATTTGAGAAGTTGAGGGGGTGGTTGCAATTATCCAAACAAGAGGGGTGTTTTTGTAATTTGACCATACCTCAGGGGAGTGTTTGTAATTTACCCTATATATATATATATATATATATATATATATATATATATATATAGACACACACACACGAATCCATCATCCTTTGAGAAATGATAGCGTATAAAATACCGAAGAGTTCGCTCATCATTCTCTTTGCCTTTTCGACAATAGATCGAGGATCTGGATTTTTGTAAAATAAAATAGAATGAAAAATACGCAAATAGCAAATCCCTATCAAGCAATACCTTGTGCTGATAACGTGTTATAAAATAAAATCACTAGCTCTAAATGTCTTTGTGTGTGTGTGTGTGTGTGTGTGTATATATATATAAATAAATACACACACGTATACTGAAATTAAGAAATAAAACAAGAAAAATATTGCACTGTAGAAGATCGTAAAAGAAAATATTTTGCTGGAGGAATTCATGTGTTTATTTTTGTTGCCCAGCATCACTATTTATATAAATTAAACTAGGGTAAATTACAAACACCCCCCTGAGGTATGGTTAAATTACAAAAATACCCCTCTTGTTTGGATAATTACAATCACCCCCTCAACTCCCCAATTTTAGTGGAATCTTCGAGATTATATGGAATATTATCACGTTTGTACCCGTTTTATCCCATTCAAACTCTACATTATGAAGCAAGATGATCATAATATGTGATTTTTAGCTTGTATATATCAGTTTGTGGTGCATCGAAAACTCATTTTTTACACAAAACGAGTACAAACTAGAGCACATTCCAGGGAATCTAGATGATTATGTTGAATTTGGCACCATACGGGTGGAGGTGTAAGAAAAAATCATAGTTGAGGAGTAGTTGTAATTATCCAAACAAGAGGGGTGTTTTTGTAATTTGACCATACCTTAGGGAGGTGTTTGTAATTTACCCATTAAACTAATAATAAGATGTGTCATGCTTACAAAGATAAGCTACACGTATGAGGTGATACATAGCTATCAAAACTTAGTCCACAAGTAATGAATATATATTATAGTGATTTTTATTTTTTTAGTTCACGCTCCATTTGTTTGTAAGGTACAAGATCAACCCAATATTTATTTTGGTTTAGAATTGATCAAATCCAATTAGGGCACAAAGACATTGAATCAGAATAAAGAAACCCGTCAGTCAGACTGTTGATCTTTGGGACATTTCAACAAGCACGTTATGTGCACTCAGTCGGATGAATTGATCTAAATAGTATAGGTCTACAATTAATTTAATATGGAAAATCAAGATAGCTGTGAAGGAGAGATATTTGTTGGTCCATGGGGTTGCTCCGAAGGCAATAATAAATGGGGTGATTATAAACCCAAAGGTGGCATCAAAACAATTATAATCTCATATGGTGACGTCATCAATTCTATCAGGTTCGTCGAGCATGGCTCCAACGAGGCCTCTCCAATCTTCGGGGATGACGTAGGTCGCAAAATTGCTACGGTAATAATAAATCTCAATCTTGATCAGTCACCATAAATATATTCTTTATGTATATGTTATATAATGCAGATCAATATCGAGTGCCCATCGGAATATTTGACCGGCATGAGTGGGTGTCAATCGCTATATCCGTTTGATTATACGGGGAGATGGGTAATTGACTCACTGAGTTTTCAGACAAACGTAAGAAAACATGGGCCAATCGGGCCCGGTTCAAATTTTTCGTTTTCCTTCCCCATGAACGGTGGTAAGATCGTCGGATTTCATCTCCGTGCTGGAAATTACCTGAATGCCATCGGTGTGTATGTGAAGCCCTTTTGCAGAGCCAGCAGTTGTGCCCTAAATCCAATCGATGACCCCGTTGAAATCCAAGAGGTTCGAGTGTCTATCCATAACATATTCTTCCTTCTAAATTAGAGTAAATTACGGTTACCCCGAGCTAAGAATATATTACGAATTTTTTTCTCACGATGCATTGTCTTACACGTAAATCCTTACACAGTTAAATTTAATAAATGATTTTTTCGTAAAACAATACATATATGAAGGGTGGTTGTAATTATCTAAAAACGAGGGATTTTTTATAATTTGACATTACCTAAGAGGTACCCGTAACTTACCCAAATTTCTTAATAATACGCCTACACTATTATACTGCAAAATTCATAATAATTTTGGAGTGAATTATAAAAATATCTTACCGTTCGATAAAATTATATAAATAATTGTATTTTAGTTAACTTCATGAAAATTTATTCGACACTAAAGTATGTGCACTTTATAAAACTCAATTTTTATAAAACTCAAATAAATTGATGTATATATGAGCTTATTGTATTTGTTACCCCTGTGAAAATTGCAACCGAGAGTTTTTCCTTGTTATAAACAAATTAGTAACCACGGTCCCTGTATTTATTAGTCAAATGCGAAAAACCCCCTCGTCGCAATTCGTGTGTCTCACTCGCGGATTACGTTATTTTTCTTCATTTATGTTGTGCGAAATGACATAATTGCCCCGAACATCTTTTCTTTCTTTATTTTTCTTTTTTTCTTTTTTTTTTTTTCTTTTTTTTTTTCTTTTTTCTTTCTTTATTTTTCTTTATTTTTTCATAAATTTTAATATGTATTTTTTGAATTTTCTTTCATTTAAATTAATTAAATTATAAATAGTTATAAGCTTAATGAAATACATAACATTTTATAATTATTATATGTATTTTTTTAAAAATTACAATTCAGTCCCCTAACTTATTTGATTAGGTTTTTCAAAACATCAATTTGGTTCCCCTAGTTTTTTGCAGAAACCCCCAGGGTACTTCGGTCCTTTTACAACCGGTCAACGGAGGAAATTTAAATAGGTCGAGTATGGTATCTAAAAATAAACACATGATGGTTTTTGCTAATTTTTTTATGACGAGGAAAACACGCAGTTGCGATTTTCATAAGGGTAGCAAATACAATAAGCCCAAGTACATATATAGTATTTATAACTCACAAATGAATCTCATATATATACCAATTCCAATCCAATCCAGGAAAAAAAAGGTCGAAAATTGAATTCTCTGGAATTCAGAATGAGAAAACATCGTTCCAAAATAAAAATTATTTTCGGATCGAAATTGATGGAATTCGAAAATTCCACAAAATTCTTTTTAAAAAGAGCTATTTATTTGTTTTGTGTTTTACGTACCTCTCCCATATTTCCGTTTAGTTTTAAATCATAAATTAATTACCAAAATTATTAGTTTTTTTTCTTCTTTTTTTGAGAAAATAGTTACTTCATGGTTCTAAAACATACAAAATCCTACATTTTGAAAATTTAGTTGAATCATATTAATTTTGCAATTAGCTTGTCATACTCACGAGTTTAATTTAATCGAATTTCGTTGTTATTATTCCATTAACACTTCTAATTTAGATCAACTAAATATACTGCAGCAAATTGATGCTATCAAAGATGCTTTCCCCCGTGATCCGGGGCCTTGGGGTGGTATTAGTAGTGGAAAAAAGTGGGACGATGGAGTTTTTTCTGCAGTCAAGCAAATTCAACTGCACGTTTATGAACGTGCAAATGCCATGAATTCTATTCAATTCGAGTATGTGACAAGAGATCGGAGACGCGTGTGGATGCCAAGGCATGGTTTCAATAGGGGTGGCATTGTCAAAAAAGTAAGGAGAAAAATCTAATTAATTGCCGATTTATCAAATCATTGCGTACTACATCATCGATATATATATATAGTAATGCATTTTTTATAAATTATATTGCAGATTGATATTGATGAATGTAAAAACGAGTACTTGATTGGGGTGGCTGGCTTTTATGGCCCGGTCGATGGAATTAATAATGGATTGGACGTGATTAGATCGATCACATTCTACTCCAATAAGGGGAAATACGGTCCGTTTGGTGATGAAAACGGCACTTATTTTTCTTCAATATCAAGTAGGGGGAAAGTTGTCGGCTTTCATGGGAGCTCTGGTTCGTACTTGAATTCGTTAGGTGTGCATGTTGAGTACTTTTGAAGATTTTCGTATGCGTTGTAGTTGGATTGTATTTTCTTTGTAGGTGTAGTTATTTGAAGTTTGCCTTCAACAATTTCGCTTCTGAACATGTTTTGATGTTTGTAGTAACGTAGTTCTTGTCCCATGCAAGTTAGAACTTCGAACTAAAATTTAATGAGTTTCGTTGTCTTTATCATTTTCCGTCACTGTTCTCGTGCACCGTAACTTGTCGAAAAAAAACTACATGTTCAAACTTGATTTATTAACAAATTGAACTCAAAACTCTCAGCCATACATTCCATTTCAAACATGAAAGTAGAAAATGCAAAAATATCCATGGCTGGTTCATTTCATAAAATAATTAATCGGTCAATTTTGTTATAAAAAAATCAATCAGCGATGTAAAAACCTGGTGATGATGAACTATTTAATTATTTATTAATTCAAATTTTATTTCAAATTCAAAACCTGGTAATGAGAATAAAAGAATTGCTCACACTTCAATTAGTTCTCATAGACAATAGAGCAGCCGTTCACCAAAAGAAAAAAAAATCTTCGAGGCATTTCTACAGTTACATTGTGTTCATTATTTTTCATCGAAAACAGAGCAGCCATATTCACAAGAACACGATTGATGGATATATATATATATTAAATATCTTGTAAATATACGTATTAATCTTGTAGAATATTTTATGTATAATTTACTTTCCTATAATAGGAATAATTAAATCTCGCTAATAGTGGATTACTCATTCTTAGCCAATGAATCTGTTAATATGTATTGTATTTATACTACAGTTTATTTAGTGAAGAATATACACAGAAGAACATTCAACCACATTCCATCGTCTCTTCATATTATTTTCTCCATTTTCAATATTATCTTCTTTTGAGTTCATCTTATATTTAAAATGGCATCAGAGCTAAAGCAGGCTTCTGGAACTACCAAAATTATAGATCAAACAACACAAAATTCCAAATATCAAAAAATCATAAATCTTTCACATCCATATTTTGTACATCATTCAGACCACACTGGTCACATACTTGTACCAAAAAAATTGAATGGCACCAATTATCCATCATGGAGTAGATCAATGATTGATGCTCTCACAGCCAAAAATAAAACCGGCTTCATCGATGGATCTATTCAGCCACCCTCTGAGTTAGAAGAACCTGCAGATCATGGCTTACCCATTTTGTGGAACCAAAATTAGCCAATGGGGGTAGTTCATGCAAAGACTGGCAATCAGGATTGGGAAGACTTTAAAGACCCATTTTTGCACAAAAGAATGCTCCAACAATCTATCAAATTCAAAAATCATTGGCAAGGCAGCATGTCAATCTCAAATTATTTCACAAAACTCAAGGGCCTTTGGGATGAGCTAGAGGCGTATCGACCCAGTCTGACTTGCGATCAAATGAAAGCGCATAACGAACAAAAAGAAGAAGATCGAATGAAGCAGTTTCTTGTGGGACTCAATGACTCCTATAATATTGTCTGTAGCAATATTCTGATGATATCTCCTTAACCTAACGTTCGTCAAGATTATTCTCTTGTCATACAAGATGAAACGCAATGCCAGATGACCTCGGAATCAATCGAAAATTTCTCTATCGTTGCTGCAGTTCATGCTCATTCCAAAACAAGTTCAAAGATAAGCATTGTGAACACTGCATTAGAGAAGGCCATACAATCGAGAATTGTTGAACCCTAAAATTTCATTGCAAGTACTGTGACAAGAAAGGGTCACACCAATGGTAGATGCAAATTCAAAATTGGCACATGGGTTTCCAATAACACTGGAAATCGAGGAAGCCGACAACAACGAGGGTCTCAAGCGTCAAATATTTTTCCTGCTGCCAATGCAACAAACTCTTCACAATCCGGTATTCAATCACAAACCACCAATATGGCGAACTCCTCTCATGGGTTCTCTGTAGAACAACTTCAACTACTTGCCAACACCTTGTCTATGATTTTTTCAAATTAACCTTCTGGTAACAATAATGCTTATGCAAATGTCGCAAGTCTGTCTCTTATTGCTAATGCCTCAATTAATTATGTACTTACTAAGCCTTGGATTTTGGATAGCGGAGCTACCGACCATATCACTTTCCGTCCTACACTTTTTACTCTAACTAAATCATCACAAACTCCCATTGTAAGTTTACCCACTGGATCTTCTACACCAATTACTTCTATCGGCACCGTACCATTTACACCAGATATTACACTGGACAATGTTTTATGTGTTCCCTCGTTTCGTTTAAGTTTGATGTATGCTAGTAAAGTTACCAGTGCGTTAAATTGTTGTGTCATTTTATTCACGAATTTATGTATCTTACAGGACTTGGCTACAGGGACGATGATTGGCCCGGGCAAACAATATGGTGGTCTCTGTGGCATGTTCCAATTGAAAAGAACACCTGTCTCACATCATCCAAACTTATGGCACATGCGTCTTGGTCATCCTTCACCATTTGGTCTTAAGTTAGTTTCTTCATTGTAACCTTCGAATAAAAACATTTCTTTTGACAATAACAGTGTTTGCCCCATGGCTAAACAAACTAGGATTCCATTTTCTTTAAGTTCTATTTCTACTAATGCACCTTTTGAATTGCTACATTGTGATATTTGGGGTCCTCGTAGAATTTGAAACACGTGGAATTCCAAAATTTGTTTTTAACTCTCTTATTTTTAAAACTAAATTTTAGTTATAGAATAAGTAGTGCTTAGTGGGCTAAGTATAATGTTTAGTGGGTTAAATTGAGGATATTATCTTAACTACTAAACTAACCCATTAACCCATGTTCTTGAGTGTTCTTGTAGTCGGTCTTCTTGCAGATCATGGGCTGAGAAGTGGAAGCTTGAGATGTCTATAAATACCGGTTTCAAGACTCAAGAAAATTGATTGATTCTAAGAAACAAAATCCGAGAGCTGAAGATAATACATGAGAGTTTTAATACTGTTTTAGAATCGGTTGTACGTACTCCTCATGAGTACATTCTTTGTAGTCTAGATTGTTTAGTATATAGTTTTTATGTATCTAGATTTGGTTGTAAGAATGATCAAGATAGTGATTTATTCATAAGAAAGAATTTCTTGTACTTCTTCTCTTTGTATTCTTGTAATACAGTTTTAGAATCGGTTGTACGTACTCCTCACGCGTACATTCTTTGTAGTCTAGATTGTTTAGTATATAGTTTTTATGTATCTAGATTTGGTTGTAAGAATGATCAAGATAGTGATTCATTCATAAGAAAGAAGTTATTGTTTTTGTACTTCTTCTCTTTGTATTCTTGTAATACTGTTTAAGTTTTACGTCCTTTAAAGGGCAAGTTCACAAGTTTTACTTGTGAACATTTTTAAATCTGAGTATTGTTTTTATATTTCCGTTGCATGTTTATACAAGTGTCATAACACTTAATATAACACCTTTGTATTAAACGAATTCGGGACCATAAATTCTTTCAGAATTCATACACACTCAGGGGCTCGTTTCTTTCTTACAGTTGTTGATGACTTTACAAGATACACATGGATATTTTTTATGCAATACAAATCCAAAACTAAAAAAATGTTACAATCTTTTATTGCATTTGCACATACTCAATTTCACACTTCCGTTAAAGCTATCATAGTAGACAACGGTTCTGAATTCATATTTACGAGATTTTTTTTCCAATCTCGTGGTATCGAATATCAACGAACTTGTGTTGACACTCCGCACCAAAATGAAGTTGTTGAACGTAAGCATCATCATATTCTGGTTGGAGGACGTGCGTTACTTTTTCAATCCAATCTACCCCTCATCTTTTTTTGGGTGAATATGTGTTAGTTTTTGTGTACCTTATAAATCGATTACCATCATCACCCCTATTGTCTGCCAAATCACCGTTTAAAATGTTGTACAAACGTCCACCATCCCTTGATCACTTGAATGTTTTTCGTTGTCCATGTTATGCCACTATTGTTCATCCGACTTATAAATTCGATCCTCGTGCAAGACGTTGTATTTTTGTTGAGTACCCCACTGGTCACAAAGGCTACAAACTTTACAATTTGCAGTCTCATAATTTTTTTGTAAGTCGCGATGTCAAATTTTCTGAAATAATTTTCCTTCTATTTCTATTAATTTTAATCATAGTTCCGTGTCTCCTCATAATTCCTCTAACATCATGGATAATTGGCATTTTTCGCAACCTTCTTTCGTAGATTTATCACCCCAACAAAAAGAACCATCAACCAGAGAAGACCCCTAATCACATATACATTCACCTCAAATACCCGACAATTCTGTTAATCCTACTACCTCATCTATTCTTTCACCTCAAATTGAACCAATTGAACCTATTCCCGACACTTCTAATTCTCCAACTTTTCCTGAACCTCCCATAAGACAGTATATTCGTTCGAAGCAACCTCTGGCATGGCATAAGGATTACATATTGTCGGCCCAAGTCAATCGATCTTGCTCAATGCCAAATCTTCAACTAGGTACTCGCTTTCCTCTCTCTCATTTTCTTCCTTATTCTCGTATATCTTCTGCCCATTGTGCTTTTAGCCGGTATTACAAGCCACGTCGAACCTCACTCATATGCTCAAGCTATCCTTCATCCAAAGTGGCAGCAAGCTATGAATACAAAATTAGAAGCATTGAAACGGAATAACACATGGACCTTGGTCCCATTGCCGATTGGTCACAAACCCATCGGCTGTAAATGGGTGTATAAAATAAAATATCGATCAGATGGTACCATTGAGCGTTATAAAGCCCGTCTTGTTGCTAAGGGTTACACTCAAGTTGAGGGCGTTGATTATCAGGAAACCTTTTCCCCCACCGCCAAGCTCACCACACTTTGTTGTCTCCTTATAATTGCAGCCGCTCGTAATTGGTTCATACACCAATTAGACGTACAAAATGCTTTCCTTCATAGTGCCTTACATGAGGTTGTATATATGGAACCTCCACCTAGTATTCGCCGACAGGGGGAAACCATTGTATGTCGGCTC